TTTACTCTCACTAGAAATCTCCACCTTGAAGTTTCACTTCAATCACGAACACAAGAAAGTATATCACGAAAAAGTACTTGGAGGACGTGCAAATCTAAAATTTGATCTTAGTCAACGAATACCATGAACTTCTGAATAATACTCACCGTAACAAAGTATGTGAAATAAAAAAACAGTTTCAACATTGTATTAAAATGAAATTTTTCGATACTTTCCTTCTAAGATGAGGGGAAAAAAGTATTTATTTACCATGTAGAGAGAGAAAACAACGCTTGTTTTCATAGATAAATTATGAAGTTCGGCCTTAAAAATGAATAAACAAATTGTTTCTTTAACATATGTAATATTTATAATCTTACTTCTTTTTTTTTGGGATGAAAACTAGCTTTTCTTATTTATAAAAGATAATTCGTTTCAAAAAATTTAAAATATATTTTGTTTAGTCAGATTTAGATACGGTTTTGATGTAAATGAAATGTGGGTTGTTTTTCTTACCTAGGAAAAGATTTTTCGTTCCGTAATCATTTAAAATGTATTCAGTTTGTATAATCAGAACTAGAAAAGTTTTAATTAATTTAATATGCGTTGTTTTATTTCAGTCTTTTTTTAAAATTAAAATATTTCTAAAAGGATTTTCCTTTTGGAATGAGATTTGAGTTCTGTTATATTAACTGGAAATATATGAATGGTTTTTCATTTTGTAAGACTTTATAAGTAGACTGTACATTACTGTTCCTTATTTCAGAATTTGTTCATTGAATATTCTAAGATACAAGTTTAATGAAGAAACCGAATCTACATATCAAAAATGAAACGCATCGTTAAACATAATTTTAAGTTATTTCCAGCATAACTTCCGTTTAGAAACATATTCGAGAATCTTTCTTTAAAAATTGAAAACTAATAATTTTTTGCAGCCTTACATATTTTAAAAGTTTAATTACATTTGTAGATTTTCTTTATTTATGAAAGACAAAACAAATTGCTAATTTTTTTTCAGAAAAAACATATCGGTTAACAAACCAAAAGAAAAAATCTTATAAGGGAATATGGTACGATTTATGCAAAAAATTTTAATTCAAGGATTTTCAAAGATTTTTTTTTGGTTGCCTCCTATGTGTATGCATAATGTAAAACAGATTTTGTGCTCAACATTTCATAAAAAGCTAACCATTTAATTTTTAAGGGGAAAACTTTAATGAAGGGATTTTAAGATACTACTCCTCCTAAGAAATTAACGTACGTATATGAAATTTGATGTACTAGTACGTCAAACTATGTGTAACAAAAGAGGGTATGTGTTTTGCGATAACATCATTGATATTCGTACAATGCTTCTTTTTATGAATGCTTATTGAAAATTCCTTAAAAACTGTATAAATTCTGAGTTTAATTGTTTCTTAAAAAATAAGTATTGCTTTGAATTAAAAATCCATACCAACTTCTGTTACATGTTCTATTAGCGATAGGTAAAAAAATTCAAAGCATTAGGCACAATAAAAAATAAGGCTAGGCATTTTAAATGAAGACAAATTAGTTATTTTGTCTTTCTCTGAGATAAGTAAGTTTAAATTTAGACTTTCCATATTGTGATTTGAATAAAAGCGAACGTAAAAGCTATCATAATTCAGCGTTTTTTTAAATTAAGAGCTTTCAAATTTTGTGGGTTATAGAAAAGTATATAAAAGTTAATTGAAGCTGAAAAAATTAAATTGATCTTTTGACCGAATTTTGTCAATTGAATCGTACTGTGTCCCCCTTAAAATAATGTAAGTAATTGTTAATTTTTTTTATTAAAATATGCATATGGCTATTAAATTGTAATGAAATTTATTCAAATTTTACTGAAAAATAAACTTTGTGTGTGTGTCTACAAACTTTTCAAAGCAATTTCGCTTTGGCTATCTTATAACTCAAACTTATAAAATATACGAACCGTTAATGTTAATGCGAATATAAATTAACTATTAATATGGATATAAATTAAAAATTTGTTGAAAGTTAACAGGAAAATTGTTTTAAATAGTTTTAGTGAATTTTTCCGTTTTCTTGAAAGTTTAAAATTCAGAAAGAAAATATATTTGTCTTTAAAATCGATACTGAGACGCTTAAATGATCTTCTCACACAGTTTTTTTTTTACATGACTCAGTTTTTTTTTTTATTTAGCCTTTGGTGAAAATAAAAATGAATCTTTGCTTCTCAGTTTTCACACGTAGAAAGTAAGAACTACTCCAATACCTTTTTCCAATATATTCAGATTTCTTATTTCGCAAAACTTTTTTATAAACTGGCATTTTAAAATGCGTTAAAATTAAAAATAAATCAAAATAAAAAAGAATAGCAAAACTTTTAGGAATTTTCATTCCTTATAAATTAAGCAATTGCATTACATTTTAAAATTTATAAAGTTTAAACCAGTGATTACCGAACTGGTTTATATAGACCCTTAGAGGTCTATGAAGACCTGAAAGGGGTCCACTCCAGCAAAAAAAATAATTTAGGAGGCCTTGAGGTATAAAAAGCGGTCTACGATAGTGTCTCTCATTAAACCAGATCTTGACTATAATTTTAAAAGAAAGTTAAATCAAATGGAAACCAGATTTTACCTATGAAACAGATTCAATTACTAAATTTAATAAGACTAATTTGCAGTTTCAAGGTTGCATAAATTTAATTGAAACAAGAACAATCCTTTCAGCGTTTCTTGCCAGAATTATGCTAAAGGACGTCTCGAATTTTTCTTGTTTCTCAACCATTCACAGACATTCTTCCAGGAAAATGACGTTTTAACCTACGTTCGACATTTAAATGCTCTATATTCCTATTTTTAAACTAGGTTTGAGAATGTTTCAACTATGATAATTACCACAGCTGTGGCAAGGAATACACATGGGCACATTAAATAAAAAATGCCGTATTACACGAGGAACTGATTGCTTAAAGCTTAGAAACAGATGTCAGCAATTTTGGCTTCAAAAAGACTTACCTGTTATTTATGGAAAATTGTGAAAAAGTGTTTAATTTCTAGAGAAGTAGTTTTAGCGTGGTTGCAAACTCAAATTTAATAGCAATAAAAAAAAAGAAGTAAGGTATTGACTGGACTCTACTAGCCGAGGAGATTTAAGATTGATGCCAATTGTTGAAAATTTGTTATTGAAGCATCAGATTCATCCCTTCCATTATAAACATTTCTTTGTTGGTCAGTTATTTTAAATATTAATTAAATTTTAATTTAATTAGCATGTGTTTCTTAAGTTTTAAAAACTGTACCTCAACATATTTAGAAATGTAAGTCTTTAAAAATAAGTACTGTCTCTATAAGTACTACTCTGTAAATAAGTACACCAGCTGTTAGAAAGACATTTCATTTGATAAATTTATGAAAATTCTATATTAGGTAAAGAGGTCTACCCCAAACTGAAAAACATGGTAAGGGGTCTTTGAGAAAAGAAAGTTTGGGAACCTCTGGTTTAAACCATACAAATTAGTTAGTTCATTGCTAAAAAATTTTAAAATTTTTACTAGAAAATGTAATAACTTTTCTTTTACTATTTTAATTTGATTTCAGGACAATTTTAAGCAAAAAATTAATTCATTACTAAATAATAAAAAATCTTTACTGTTAATTTTTTTTTTAATTTACCATTTTAATTTGATATTTGGGATTAATTTATTACATACCTACATTTTCATAACAAATACATTGTATGTTGTAAGCAATAATATCAAGTTTTACATGATTAAGTTTCATTTGCGGAATCTTCTTTATCCAGGTTTTAAATACATATTATTATTATTAAGTTTGCTTAAAAATTATATTGAAATCACAAGTCTTTGAATCTCTTAAACACTTTAATAAGTCAAAAAATATCCAGTTGTACATTTTTTTTTATAAAACATCTACAATATTTTGGTAGATTTTATTTTTATTCTTTAGTTTATGAACTTATGAAACGTACTAATATTAAAAGCAAAAAATAAGATTTTTTTTTTTTTTATAAAAAGATAAAGGTATTTAATAATATGTAATTCTACTGTGTAAATCTAAGCAAAGATATTTTCTTTAATTACGTTGCATTTTTCCCATTTATTTTTTGCCTTACATATCAACATAGTGATGTTTGCGTAAAATCTTTATTTTCTTGAGAATATGAGACACAAAATATAAATTTGTTTTAATGCAATAAAATATTTGTTGTTGTGCAATTATTTTAATATATTTACCCAAAACTTATAAAATACTATACAAAAACTGAACAATCTTGCAATACCTAGAAAGATTATAATGATACAGTTTTCACTTCGGTTAAACGGTTAAAATAGGCAACTAATTGCTCACCTGTACATTATTAGCCATACATCAAAAATTCTAGAATTAACTTAACATCTTTGATCAAAAATAAATCCTCCAAAGCGCGAGTAAAATGGAGCTTTTAAAAGGAACACCGACATTCCAGTGTTTTCAAAAATATTGTAAAATTTTTTTTAGCCTTTTGAACTTAATAAGCAATATCCCATTGAATTTTAAAAAATCTAAAGAATAAATAATAGCTGCAGTTATAATTCTTTTTTTTAAATTCAATTTAAATTTTATCTTGTATCGTAAACACTGTTTTAGTAAGATCTTTTTGTCATTCCCACTTTTAAAACATAATACGCCTTCATAAGTATAGAATTTTATTTTCTGAAGTTGATTTATGTTACTAGTGATTATTGTTAAGATTTACACAGTTCACAAAAACTAAACATGCTCATAGTGTATTTTAAAGTTTCATTTTATTTTTCAAATATATATCGTTCAAATTTTCAATCATTAATAAAATACTTTCTATTCATCCATTCAAGTTCAAATACATCTGTTTAAACTTGTAGTGGATGACACTTGATGTTAATGTAGTTTTTTCAAATATTAATTAATTAATCAAATTTAAAAATTTAATGAATAGTAACAAGCAAAAATAATAGTCCAACGACAAAAGAAACGAAAATAGCTCGTTGTGTTCTTGTAGCGCAATGGATAGCGCTTTGGGACGTCTAATCCAAAGGTCGTGGATTTGAATCCCACATAAAATGGCCTAATTTCTGCGAACGTGATTTTTTTTAACTTTTTTATTAGAATAAATACATTTAATGAATTAATAAACAGTAACAAAAAATTAGTCCAACACCACATATAGAAAGAAAAATCGAAAATTGCAAGGAAAACCGCTTTCTATTTTGTCACTTAATATTCTGATTCTGTCATATGTTCATATTAATTGAAACTATTTAATAAAAAGTATCAAAAAGATTTTTTTTCTTAACCTTAGTAGGAACTGACTTCAAAAAAAAAAAAATTTATATTACTTGTTCCTTACATTTGTATATATATAAGTAGTTCGCAACAGATAATTAAAAATAATATCGATGCTCTAGTTAAATTTATATTTGTTTTCTTCTTAAAATGATTAAAAGCATTCACAGACATATAGTTAGAAAGTCTCAGAAAATTTTCATTTAATGTGAATTTATATGTTATGCATTATTTTAGGGTAAAGGGGAGATGGAAACTTACTGGCTCATGGGACATGCAATAAACGAACGAAGACGCCCAATCAACAGGGGAATAGCCCAACCACCACTACTTTTCAACCTCCGGGAATCCGAAAATAGGCGGAGAAGTCCAAAGACTGAGTTTCTTCGACGCGTCACAGCTTCTCAAGCTCACAGATCCTTGGACGACAGCACAGCTCTGTTCAACGGCACCATTCCGGGTAAGCAAACCCTTCTTCGAGTTGCTCAAGAAAGCCCTCTCTCGAGAAAACGCCACAGCGCTGTTCCGCCTGTATCTACCAAAGACACTTTCCAATCAGAACCCTGGGATGGCAATGAAATGGGTTGCAACACGATCGCCGCTGACGTCATCGATGGTTACAGTGACGTTTTTTGTCCCAACTTTGCGTGTGGTGAAATGAAACACGATTCCGATCCTAAATCGAATGAGCGAGACTTCATCACGATGGAAGTACATCACCCTTCCATTATTGACGACGTGACCAAACCTTTAATCCATGCTCAGAGAAGATTGGAACATTTAAAAAAGTTCAAGAAGAGATATCAGCCGTGGAGGAGGTCTTGGTCAGCTGATGTGATCGATCAAGGGTCTAAAGAAACCAAACCACCATTATGTAACTTTCTTCATAATATCCCTCGGTCCCCAAATGCTGCTGGTAATCTTCACACTTTAAAGGAAAGTGATACAGAAGAAAGTGTGGTATGACGATGTATATCGATGGCTATTATGAGCCAATCTCCAATGCTGTGATATCTCACTTTCTCTTAGCTTGTAGAGTGATTTGGCGTCAGACTTAAGTCATTAGTGCCAATTTGCAAGCTCTACACCCATATTTATAATGGTTGAAACTAAGATTGTGTTGCTGATTGTTGCTTATGCGGCTTATTGTGCGCAGTTGTTATTCCAGAGTATTGCTTACCATGTGTATAAGTTTTGTTGTTCTGTATAAACAAATACTTACTGCATTCCAAGAAGATTTTCTACACAGAGATAAATGCTGTTCAAAAGTTCTGGTTCTTATTTCTGTGTTAGAAGATTCTAACTTCTCTTCCAGTGTATGATAATACTTATTCCATCAAACATCACGTTTGAATCACGCAAAATCCAGTACTTAAACTATCATTTTTGTGTGTTTGATACATATATATATATATTTGTGTGTGTAATGTTTAAACTATTTTACATGTATTCTCGCATTTTGGGCATTTGAATATCCAATACAAACAACTGTGTATTCGTAAGTGTATTCGTGTTCAATGTTTTGATATATGTCTTTGATGTTATAGACGTTTACAAGGCTTCTTAGGAAGCAGAACAGACTTTGGAATTCGATTTTATTTATCGTTACCATCGGCCATATTAAATTATTTTAACACAAGACTAATGGAAAATATTTAAGTGTATCCGTAAAACATTTGACATTTGTGATGATTTTTAAATGTGAGACTCTTAACTGTTAAGCTCAAGTTATTTAAAATCTAATGTAAACTAATTATTAAAAATAAAATTGTTTTAAAAAATATGTGTATTTTACTATTTTCGTATATTTGAAAAAGAATTTTCTTCTATTTTAAATTCTTATTTTAGTATTTATCTAATATCCCTGCATATATCATGTGTTAAGAAAATATTTTTTGTACTATATATATTTTACATTGATTTGTTTTTAAACATTTAGTTTTTTTTTTTAAAATTTTTGTCGGCCTATTTGAAGTTAAATTTATTTTTTCTGGTTATTTCATTTTGAAGTTTAATTTAACATATATTCCATGGTATATTTTTTGAATTTTTTAATTAAAGTACTTTAATAAAAAAATAATATAGCTAGCATTTTGATAGATTGTGTATGAATTAAAATATATTCCATTTCATTTAAAATAAGAAAAGTAACCATAAAAAATTTATCGCAATTTGATTTCTATATATTAATTACTTGAAAATTAGCATTTTATTTTACTTTTGAGTTTGGTAAGTATAAAGCATTAAGTATCTATATCTCACACATTTTTAATTTAAGTGTCATATGAATATTTAAGCATTTTATAGCATTCGCTTATGAATATAATTTATTCATATTGCACTGGTATTTTCACGTCAAATTTTCATATAAACTTTGTTTTTTAAAAATATGTTTTTAAAGTTGAAGTACTCAAATACACACACAATTTTAAAACCCTGTTAAGAGTCAATCTACTTTACTATGTATTTCTTTCAGGTTGCATTCTCAGATAAATGTTAAATAATGTTATCGAGTAATCTTCATCTATAATAATTATAAGCAGAATCATAGATTTAGATTTTCAGGAGCTACTATATAAGAAATGGAACGTTAAATTATAGAACTGGCAAAGAAATGTATTGTAAAAAGCAAAGATTTCATTGGGATGCAAAATTTTCCATGAAATGACATTGGGAGAATGAATTAAATTAATATTGTGTACTTATACATAACTATCATACTGAATCTAAATGTTTATATTGTGCTGGAAATTTACAAGCACCGATGAAAATAGTTTTAAAGTAACTCAAATATTTATAGAGTAACTTGAAACAAATGTTATATATTTATTATAAATTAAGGGGATGGTACGATTTATACACATTTTTTTAATTTAATGATTTTCATAATTTTTTTTATTGCCTCCTATGTGTGTGCATGATGTTAAACAGATTTTGTGCTCAAAATTTAATAAAAAGCTAACCATTTAGTTTTTTATTGGAAAAAAATTGAAATTTATGAAGTGATTTTAAAATGCTACTCCTCCTACAAAAATTGACGTATATATATGAAAATTGATTTACAAGTACATCAAACTATTTATAACACAATTTGCTATGGATTTTGCGATAACATGATTGGTATTTGTACAATACTTCTTTTTATGAATGCTTATTGAAAATTCCTTAAAAAATGTGTAAATTCTAAATTCAATTATTTTTTTAAAATAAGTATTGCTTTGATTCAAAAATGCATACAAACTTTTGTTCCATGTACTATTAGCAACAAATAAAAGAAATTCCAAGTATTAGGCACAATAGAAAAAGGTCTTGGTATTTTAAATGAAGACAAATTAGTTATCTTTCCGAGATAAGTCAGTTTAAAGTTTTAATTTCCTATTGGGATGTGCATAAAAACAAACGGAAAAGTTATCACAACACTGCGTTTTTTAAACTTAGATCTTTCAAATTTTGTGAGTTTGTAGAAAAGTATATTAAAAAAAATAATTCAGGTTAAAAAAATTAGATTTGAGTTTTGGACCGATTTTTGTTAATTAAATCATACAGTGTCTCCTTAAAATGGCATATGCAATGCAACACGTTAAATTAAAAGTTAAAATTATATTTTTCATGCAAAAATGTGTCATGAAATTCTTATTATATGAAAAAACTTATGGGGTGTAAAAAAATTGTTTATAACTATGGACGACGTTGAAGTAAAGAACGTCATGCCTGTAACAAATGCTTAAATTGGACTCAAAAAACATTTTGTAAAAATATTAAGAGTATTTTCAAGAACTTTTAGTTTTTTTATTTTTATCTGGATCTAATTTTAATGCTTTTCATATATCATATTGACTAAAATAATTTAAATAAACTTTAACACTGATATTAATTTTAAAAGGAAATTTAAAGTTATGAATGTTATTCTAAAGTTGTCATCATCTACAAAATCAGGACTCAAACTCGAAGTGCTTTAGATAACAAAAAAAAATGTATCATCACTGACATATAAAGATTATCGCATTTTAATATGTTGCTTAGGTTAATTATTATATTTTTTCCCTGGAGAAATAGAAAATAATATTTCGTGTTCTATACTGGAATGCTAGATGGATTTTAATTTTACATTTTTGAAGGAAATGTTGTTTTCATTGAGCATTTTAAATATTAATGCGTTTCTATTTAAATATTAACAATTTAAATATAAACTCATTATGCGTGATATAACCTCGCGATTTTTAATTAAAATGAGACATTTTTGAATAAGAAAATATGCTTAAAGCTGTTTGTTTTTTATATCAATAAGCGAAAATAAGTGCCTTAAAGGAATGAGTTTTTTTCCAAATGGGGCTATGTTAAACATTTTCTAAAAAATATTATTCATCATTTCTATTTTTTTTACTAAGTGATTCAACTTTGCAAATGAATATTGTTATTTTTATTTTAGTTATTTTGTATATGCGATTACTAAAGCAATTTTATGCAGAAATATCTATCTTAAAAGCGATCGACAAGATAGTGGGACCCAAATCACTCATCTGATTGGTATTAATAAGTAATTTTTATTTATATTATACTTTGAAGTAAATATGATAAACTTTTATATTTCTGATTCCTAATCATTAAATGACTTTTATGGGATCTTTTTTATAAAAATTGTCTAAATTAATTTTCAGCTCTAACAACTGATTTAATAATTTCATTCATTTGAATATAACAGGGGTTATTAAATTTTTCCTGGTCTCATGTCAATGAATCTTAATAAATAGAACCTCAATCCCCACTCCTTTAAAATTGA